TTGGACCAATTCTCTCACTGTAGGGCTGTAGGTTTGAAAAAAAAACGGTAACATGATCAATTTTCCTTCCTCCTTACAGCGCGCCCAGACACGTCCTTAATTAACCAAAAAACCACATCTTTATTAATAACAAATTAATTATTTTACAAAAATATTAAATATAAACTAAGCAAACGTGCATTGCACGTTACTTGCACCTAGTTATTTTATAAAAAATTGTATAACAAAAAAATAAGAGAGAAGAATAAATTATATGAACAATGAGAGCCAATCGGGGCTAAAAGAACGAAAATGGAAAATGGAAAATGAAACAATAATTTCATAACCCAAATTTCTACTGTCACTTGTCACCCCATCCCACCTAAAAATAGAAGCCAAAGGGAATCAAAAGTGAATTCCAACACGAAATGCAAAACGTTCTAACGTTGCATTTCTTTATATTTTCACCCATATTTCGGTCTTTTATTGCGGAAATATCATTTTCATATACTTTTATCCAATTTTCCAATAAAAAATTGTGAAATGATGAATATACCCTCGCATTTTAATAGATAAGAAAAGAAAAGTGAGGAGCTAATTGAAATCATTATCTAATTTTTTTTTTTTTTAAAAATGAAACAAAATCCAAATAAATTGTTAAAAAAGTAGAAATAAAAAAAGTAAAATTATTTCCTTCCTCCTCCGCCGACACCAAATTTTCTTGTTGAATGCGTTTAGGAGATACTTCACTCTCAATGGAGACTACCCATTTCGCAATGATAGAATTCACTTCATTTGGCTGCTCATCGTCAAGGCAATGGCCAGGCACAATTAAACCATAGCAAACAATTGCCAGCATCTATTTCTTTTCTCTGCAATGCTATCTTAGAATCACAAAGTGGGTTCTTTGTTCCCTGTTATAACAAAACTAATAATTTACATTTCGAAATGATGAAATCTAATAGAATCATCTCCAAATTCTCTCCTCTCCAGCTAATCATCAGCTCCAGCTCAGCTTGCACCAACTACATCTTGCTAGATTTAGTTAGTAGTTCAGTAAGTTAGCTAAGCAGGTTGATAATGTAAAAATAGTTGGTTTATTCCTATTTGTGAAGAATGGGCTAGGATTTGT